TACATTTTTTCTTCCATGCTTTTGGAAGAGGAACAAGGGTAGATAGGTATTCCTGTCTAGATTACTTTTGGCATTCAGAAAGACGCCTAATGAATATCATCTCCCCCCCCCTCTCTCAATGAAAATATACAGTTGCTTTCTTGTAAGAAAATAAAGATTAAATAGAACCATGTTGAAAACCATCAACTATCAAGTATTGGCAACATTGCCAGAAATGGTAAGTGAGAAACTAAAATGATATTATTTTTTAAAATGAGCATTCCTAGGGATAATGTCCATCATCTGTTTGGACTGAACATATAGAAGGGATCAACTTTTACTTGATAGGCTGCAGGACCACAGGGATCTACATTCTTTGATGTTATGGCATCTTTGCTTGCAAAATATAAGCCTGAAAGAACAACAGTTCCATAGCCAAAAAAAGAAAAGAAAAGAAAATCCACACATGCCACATGGTAGGGGCAGTGTTTTAAAAGGCGTGGGAGATGTACACCTTCAGGTGAGGCGCCCACAAAATGCCCTGAGGCATATGCCTCTGGTGCAAGAGGTGTACGCCTCATACACCTTTTGCATGACGCATGCTAGAGGCATACACCTCATGCACCTCACGCACACCTCATACAAAAAGAAAGAAAAAAAAAAGAAAGGAAAGGAAAGGAAAAAATAAAGAAAGGAAGAGAAGAGAAAAAAGAAAAAAAAAAAGAAAAGAAAGAGAAGAAAAGGGAAGGGAAGGAAAGGAAAGAGAAAAATGAAATCCTCCTTCTTCTTCTTCCTCCTCATCCCCTTCCTCTTAAGGAGGCTTATGCTTCCTTGTGTTTAGGCCTGTTAATGATACCCGAAAATGCGAGGCCCAGTCTGACACCTGATCTGATTATATTATAATATTTATTGATTTTAATATATAAATTTTATATAGTTATGTTTAAAATTATAAAAAGATATATTTTATATTCTATATGAATTTATATATATATATAATAAATTCAGTATGTTATATTTACATTAGTTTATTATATATAAAAGTTGAAAAGTAATTAAATTTTAATTTTTTGTTGTATTTTAAAAAATTAAAGCTGAGTCAGATTAAACCTGAATCCAATTTGAGTCTGTTAGGATTCGAATTCGAATCCAAGGTCTTCAAATCCAATCGGATTTGGATGCAACTTTTCAGTAATCAGATCAGATTCAGATTTTGCTGAATCCGATCCAAATCCAATCCAATTACAGCCCTACTTGTGTTTGGGAGGCTTACGCCTCTTACATTCTGAACTACACCTCATGCCTTCAGGTAGTGGAACGCATCATGTCACGCCTCTGCATTTTAAAACATTGGGTAGGGGATTCCCATGATGGACAAGATGATTATTTTAGCCAGTCCAGTGTCACAGGGTGACATGATGGGTTGCTTGGCTAGAGGTTTTCTAGATGTTTCCTGAGGCTCCTAGCCAATTCTACATGTTTCTGGGCTGTTATGGGGTGTTCTAGAGTGTTCTCAACGTGTCTAGAAGGGGCTATATGTTGGTGGAACTCTCTAGAACCTTGTGGAACAATCCAGGTTTGTGTGGAACACCCTAGAGGGGTTGGAAGCAATCTAGACTTACTCAAGAGTGTTCTTGTATCTTATGGAATGGGCATCCCCTAGAAGAGTGAATGTTCTAGAAGTGCTTCTAGATGATGCCAAGTGTACATAGTTCTAAAGGATTCCTTGAGGGGGTTAGTGTATAAACAGGGGTCCCCTCCTTCATTTGTAACAAGCACCCAAGTTGTAAGAGCATTCTTTGAATTGTAAGCTTTCTTCTAGTGCAATACAATCTCTTCCTCCTACAATAATTGGTGTGCTCTTGTGTGCCTTGGTGTATGTCCTTAGCACTTAAGCAACCTAGCAGGAAGGGTCTTGGGCGTGCAGTTTGGCTGACTTGCTTGGAGTACCAAGTGAGTACCACACAACTTTAGTCAATGGGAGTAGTTAGGTCATGATAAGTGGTATCAGAGCAACTTTGCTAGGAGTGCGTGGGAGCTTGTGTGTGGACATTATGTCAGACGGACTCGACAATAGCAAGACACATGAGCGAGAGAAGGGCCACTCAAAGAAGACAAGGGAAGCGTCAAGGAACATCCTTGCTGCCTTGGATGCCAGGATGGCGAGGTTGGAGCTTGCCATGGGAGAAATGCAAGACAAGTTCACAGGCATGGGCAGCTGAGTTGATGGCATGGAGGGCAGGCTGGTGGAGCTCAAGGCAACCATGGATGAGGTCATGAATCTTGCCTGGCATGATGAAGACAAAGAATGGGAATGGCTAGAAGACAAGCTGATGGGAAGCCTGACCAAGGTCCAAGCTAATGTAGACGAACTGAAGGTAGACATGGTGCTTTGCAAGAAGCTGTTAAAACGGGACGAGGTGAGGACTTTACAGGACGTGCCAAAGGTAAGGGCACCTAAGCCACCTCACTTCCATGGTGCTAGGGATGCATGGGCATTGGACAACTTCCTATGGTACATGGAGCAATACTTTGAAGTCATGCACATAAGGGATGAGCAGGCCAAGGTACGTGGGCCAAGGTACGTGTTGCCACTAGGTACTTGACTGATACAACTGTCTTGTGGTGGAGGCAACACTGTGCAGACATGGAGAAGGGGCAGTGTCACATTGACACATGGGATGAATTCAAGCGGGACATCAAGTGCCAATTCTATCCGGAGAACGTAGAGTACTTTGCACAGCACAACTTGAGGAAGTTGAAGACTGGGTCGATTAGGGATTATGTACGGGAGTTCTCCATACTCATGCTTGAGATACCCGACATGGCTGACAAGGAGTTGTTGTTCAACTCCATGGATGGACTTCAGCCGTGGGCGGAAACTGATCTGCAACACAAGGGCGTGTAGGATCTAGCCACTGCCATGGCTGAGGCGAAGAAGTTGGGGGAGAGCAACATGGGTAGCTCAATGGAGCCCAAGTCTACAAGGGGTGGCCATAGCATAGGTGGGGGAGATCACCATAGCTACAGGGATGATCAGAGCATGCAAAGTGATTACCAGGGCAAGGGGGCCCAAACCAAAGTTCAGGATGGCAAGACCAATCCGCCTAAGTCAAGGGACAAGGGCAAGGCAAAGCTGAGCTACTTCATTTGTGAAGGGGACCACTATGCTCGTGATTGTCCGCAGTGCAGGGCGCTTGGTGCACTGGAGGCATAGATGGGGCAGCAGGAAGACAGCCATGAGGAGGCTAAGATTGGGTCACTACAATTATTTTGCAATGTTAAGAAGCTGGAAGGGCCGGCTAAGGGGGCAGCCAAGACCACGGACAGGTCAAGGCTGATGTATGTGGAGGAGTTTATCAATGGTGAGAAGACCTAGGCCATGATTGATACAGGGGCGACTAACAACTTTGTCTCAACTAGGAAGGCAAAGCGCTTGGGCTTAGAGGTCACAAAGAGCACGGGCATGATCAAGGCATTAATTCCCAAGCACGTGAAATCGAGGGTGTTGCTCAGGGGGTGAGCATCCAGCTAGGGAGCTGGCAGGGTGCCATAGATGTGACTGTAGTGCTAATGGATGACTGCCAGATGATATTAGGTATGGACTTCTTCAACAATGTGCGGGCTATGCCCATACCTTATGTGCGGGTGTTGTGCATCATGGAGGCAGGGGCCTCATGCATGGTCCCTTTGGTGGATGGGACATGTGCAACAATGAAGAGTTATCAGCCCTACAACTGGGCGTGGGGCAAGGCCATGGGGGCCAATCTAGTCCAGGGGTGGACAAGCAACCAAGGGCAGCACAACACGACAAACAGGTCCAAGGCAAGGACAAAGTCGTGTATGCAGGCACAAGTCAAGGCAAAGGTTGAGACAAAGACACTAGTAGGGGCCAGGCAACTTATCAAGGTTGGAGCAAATGGGCAGCTATAGCAACAATGCAGACCACTTATCCAAAGGGCAGGGAACCTGAGGAGATTATTGTTGAAACCATGGCCACTTTTCCCAGGGTAACTCCATGGGTGGAGTACGCAGTCAAGTGGAAGGGGTTGCCTGCATCAGAAGCATCGTATGTACGAGCAAACGAGTTGATTGCGGCCGGCCAGGAGGACTTGATCAGGCAATGGGATGCACAAGCCAACTGAGTGCAATGAGAGCGTTGCACAATCAGGTAGGGGAGAATGTCATGGGATGACATAATAGGTTGCTTGGCTAAGGTTTTCTAGATGTTTCTGATGCTCCTGGCCAATTCTGCATGTTTCTAGGCTGTTCTGGGGTGTTCTAGAGTGTTCTCCATGTGTCCAAAAGGGGCTAGGTGTTGGTGGAACTCTCTAGAACCATGTGGAACAATCCGGGTTTGTGTGAGATGCCCTAAAGAGGTTGGGAGCAATCTAAACTTACTCTAAGAGTGTTCTTATATCTTATGGAATGGGCATCCCTTAGAAGAGTGTAGAAGGTAGAATGTTCTAGAGGTGCTTCTAGATGATGCCAAGTGTACATAGTTCTAGAGGATTCCTTGAGGGGGTTAGTGTATAAATAGGGGTCCCCACCTTCATTTGCAGCAGGCATCCAAATTGTAAGAGCATTCTTTGAATTGTAAACTTTCTTCTAGTGCAATACAATCTCTTCCTCCTACAATACTTAGTGTGCTCTTGTGTGTCTTGGTGTGTGTCCTTAGCACTTAAGCAACCTAGCAAGAAGGGTCTTGGACGTGCAATTTGGCTGACTTGCTTGGAGGGCCAAATGAGTGTCACATGACTTAAATAGAAAGTAGAAAGGGTAACAGTGTTTTCCTCCCTCCCCCATAGGGCCAAATTTTCAAAGGCATCTCCTAGGAATTTATAAGCAATACAAACCAACCAAGATATAGACTTTTTAACTTTATAAGAACTAGATAAACCTTCAATTGCATCATAAAATATGATAACGCAAATTAGCCAGGGAAGGAGTAATAAAAATGACAAAGGCAAAGGCATATACAATAAACAAATTAAGAAAGAATGAGGGAAAGAAAGGCATACATCACGTCGAGCAAGATCAAGGCGATTCCATAACACCAGTAGAACAAGTTCAGTTAGTTCGCCCTTTTCTGCAGCCTCCTCAATTTTCTACATATATAGAAGCAAAACAATGGACATGAAAGTTAACTACATCAAATAGAAAGGCACAAATAACTAACAAATTACTTTCTATCTAAAATACAAGATTCGAAAGGCATGATAATGATGCAAGTATGATAAAGTAAGAGAACTTGCTCATATCAAAACAAAAAATCCTGCATAACCTAGCTGAGGAGAGTAAAATTTACTTGTTTTGTTTCTCTTTCTCCATTATTTTGCACTTTTTGGGTAATAAATAGAGTAGGCATTGAGATAAATAAAACATTCTACAAATTTGAAAAGTGTGTTGATAATAAGGACAAAAGAAAGAAAGACAAAGAATGTAGCCAAAGCATTCTGATAAGTGTTACAACACTGGGATGAGTGGGATCTAAATCATTCTTACAGAACATTTGTAGATGCAAGGATAAGGGAAGGATCTCCCCAGGATGAGTAAGGAAGTACATAATTAAGATGGCATTTGGCATCATGGTGTTTCTTGCCACAGCATTTGAGCATAATCAGCAATGTAACCCCCTTCTTGCTTGTGCAAATTATTTAGTAGAAACATGTGCTGACTAGGTGTTTAAACTTTAAAGTATTCTGGTTTTTCATTAAAAAAGTTTGTTGCATTTAGAATATAACATCTCAGAAAAGCATTCTGCTTTTCATTTTTCAATGTGCCACATTATAGAAATCTATGCACTACCATTGCATTGACATTTTTGCCTAATAGACATTAATAAACATGATTTTTGTCGGCTTATGCTAAAATACAGACCTGGCAAGTTATTTAAATGCATCAGACAAGAAACACATCAATGTCAAATACCATCTAAGGAGGTGTTTAAATGTAAGGTAATTAATGATATGTATAAAATCATTATAGCACTCATGCATGCTTTTAAGTTTTAGTCAAAATTCTTGCTTTTATTTAACATGTCTAACTCACAAAAATAACCTTATTAATATAATGTAGGAAAGCAAGTTGACTCAAAGAAAAACAATCTCTCCGCATTCAATAGAAGAAGAAACGTTCTAAGCTAAGGCTCAATTGAAAAGCTCTTGTGCTTATGCACTCTCCAAGACAAGGTAAAGATTTTTATTTTCTGCAGGCTGCTTCAGCAGGAAAGAAAGTTAAAACTTCATTGTGAAATGAAAACAAACCCTCTATGACGAGTTACCTCTTCGACTTCCTCGGCAGATCTAATAAAACTTGAAATCAATTTTCTTGCTTTTCGAACTTCCTCCTCAGGGTACCCCTTCAATCGTGAACCAATTTCACGATACTCTTCAATCTTCCTCTCCTCTTCTTCATCCTCCTGTTGCCGTCTTCGATGCAACTCCTTTGTCTTTTCCCGTTGTCGGGCTTGCCATTCCTAAACCAGATCAAGTTAACGCTAATATTCCAAATAGGCCATGCAGCAAAATGAATTGCAACTTAATAGTACTCTCATTAAACTGGAAGTTCATTATCAAGTGGCTTAAAGCATGTGAAGTATCCGATGCTAAGATTTTCAAATTAACTTTAAGCATCAGAGCTTAAGGATTAGATGCTTTAAAATGCAGATATTTAGAACAAATTCGATTACATACTTGATCAACTCTTTTTATTTCATTCTGCATGTAATGTGAAACCCAGGACCCTTTCCCAGAGGTAAGGTAGAATTGAATTGATAACTACAAGTTTCAACGTTCTGAATCCCAACATTTTGATAGTTTTAGTCTTAGGCTAGATTGACGAAAGTGACAAGATGACCTTGTTTATCAAGGAAAGGGGGGAAAAACTTCTATGCTGAATGCTTAAAGAATAAATAAAATCAAACTAAAGATCCTCAAAAAGAAAGAATTCAAATTCCATTGCAAACCTTTAAGAACTATCCGGGTCTCAAGTACTGGTTGATGACTTAAAACGGTTTCAGTTACATATAAAATGAAGTCCACTGTTCAAGTGAACTCGGGACACCATAGCATCAAGTTCACAACACAGAGAGAGAGAGAGAGAGAGAGAGAGAAATAAGCCAAATTAACATAAACCCATCCTAAACAAATCATGAAATTTGTGAACCCACTAGTTGAAACATAGTAGCATGGAGACTGCAAACCAAATCATATTAAATCCGAACAAGCAAAAGCACAGAATCAAAAATGTAGTAAGCTATTAGAAAATTGAGAATCAACATACGTCGTCGTAATACTCGTTGGGGAGCAGCCCGTATAAGTCTTGTTCCTCCTTGCTCTTGTTCTTCCGCAAGACTATCAAGTATCAAGAAAAAGAAGAAAAGAAAAGAAAAGAAGAATAGGGAAATTAAAAACAATAAGAAAGAAAAGAAACGGCGAGAGATGGCAACTAAGAAAACTCAGGAAGAATACACGAGTCCAAGAGCTCTGAATGTTCGTTCTGTGCTGAATGCTACCTCTACCAGGTTTAGAGTTCGTCTTCAAAGCAGCCGCCCTTGAAGTTGAAATGACTTTTGTCCCTGTGAAGTTTGAAGCGGGACCTGGAGGAGGTACACACCTTAGCACAAACACGTTTGCCTCCATTAACAGATAAGATTATGATCAAATTGGGTCTGTCCAAAAATGTGACTCCGTCTCTCTGCCTGGACCGAGTTCCGACTACCGAGTTAAACAACCTAAGAAAGGTGCCCTTATGAACTTATCAGTTATATCATATGGGTCGATCCTATTGGAACTTTGTTGCCATGTACGAGAGACTAGAACAACTATCAGCATGATTAAATGATTCCAGGCCATCAGATTTGTTGACTGGGTATAAACCATTTTTATTCTTGAGAGTGATCCGTATCTTCTTCTACTACTACTCAGTACTGCACATCCGCTGAAACCCCAATGGTTAGATACGAGCAAGCTGGGGGCAGCCCAATCTCAGTCTAGACTTAGACTCTAGACCTCATCCTGGTCTACCTCGTTTGGTTTCCGGCTATCAGCTGAGCATGGCCCAAACCAGCCCAAACTTTTCAACAAATGCATGACATGATTTACCCAACCCAGTTGAATTTAGGACTCGTTCGTGTTGTTTAACGAGGTAATTTATCTGTGTTTTTTGCTGAGAAATATTAGTTGGATAAATAAGATGATTTTCCAAAATAATTCGCTTGTGTGTGTTAATTTGACTCCTCAGTGGGTAAGTGATTTTATTCATTTCAGATAAGGGTAAAACAAACCCGATAAAATTGTACAAAAATTTATTGCAAAGAAAATTCATTTTCTATGGGCTGACAAACAAATGGGCCCTAGAGGCAATTGCACTACTCACGATGAGCTGTAAGGAGGGTTTATTTGCACACGTGTCAAATATATCATTATTTCCTAAATAGATTGTGGTAGAGGAATTGAGACTGTGTCAAGATATAATGTTTAACTAAAAAGGAAAACCTAAAAAGAGTAAATAAAAAAAAAAAAAAAAAAAACTTTTCAAGCCTTCATTTTCTTCTTAAGTACGTCAATCTCTACTCTTTAGAGTCTGGTCTACATAGTCTTTTTCTTCTTGAGCACATTAGTCTCTACTCTCTAGAGTAGTCTATACTCTCTAAACTCTAACCTTCTCCTCTTTGTCTTCTTCTTCTCTTCCTCAAACTCCTCTGGCTCCATGCCTCAAACTCTCAAACTTTCAAAGAATCCAAGTCTCCTAAGTTATAATCGACCTAGAGTGAAGAGTGATGAAGACTACAGACAGACCATGAGCGAGAGAGGTTGCAACCTGTAACCATCTTCGGAGATCTTCTTCTTCTTCTTTTTCTTCTTCTTTTTTTTCTCTGTTTTGGTTGGGGTGGATTTCTATTTCGGTTTTTAACCAAAATAACCGAATAAAATTTTGGTTCAATTTGATTGATTTTAACCAATTTCGGTTTCAATTCGAATTTAGCCTATGATAAATCGGTTGTAAAAAATTCAGTTTTTTTTATTTGTTTTGAATCGAATAAACCGAATGCTCACCCCTTACTGCCACAAATGCATAAAGTGCCAACTATAGGCTTTGTGCTTTTGGACTTAAAATATATTTTGACTTCATATCATAATGTCTTCAAAGCACCCAAAAACATTTTCTTGGTTCAATTTTAATTTTAACATCCCAAAGGTCAAGCTTATCCAAAGCCTTTTTTTTCCTTTAGGTATTTAGTTTATTCAAAAGCCTTACCTACTTATGAGAGTCACTAGTTTTGATGCACTTATTAAGTAATTAATAATTTAGGATTGTTAATTATGACTTGGGACACTCATTGGATTAATTTATAGGGTAAAATATAAAAACCTCCCTTAAGGTCTTATTTTTYACAAAAACCTCCTCTATAGTAATGAACAAACATGCAGTTACCTCTTTTTTGTTATTGTTAAAAACGTTGGCCAAATGAAAGCTTATTAAAATAAGTGCATCAATTTTTCAAAATTATCCATTTTACCCTTATATCTATCAATTCAAATGAAAGCTTATTAAAATACCCCTACTAAGTTAATTGAAAAGAATAAAGTAATTTTACTCTATAAAAATGTTAGGTCTAGTGAAATTTAAAATGGCAAATCTAACATTTTGAATTATATTGAAAGATGTCGTACTAAGTTGTAAGGGTAATTTTGTAACTTTGAAATATCCATTACTGAGACAAAATAGAAAGGAAGTAATCTAATGCTTTTGTGAGATTATAGAGGAGGTTTTTTGTTAAAGTGAAATATCAAGGGAGGTTATTATGATTATTAGAAACTCCATGGGAGATTTTTTATATATTTACCCTTTTTATATGCTCATTTCGATTATTTTGCATGTTTTTTAATTTAAGAGGGAAGTTTGTTAAGGTCCAACTGTCCAAGTGGTGAATAAAATGGAGTAGGGGTGTCAAATGGACTGAGTTTGAATTGGACATGCCCAAATTAAAATCAATTTGAAATGGACATCCAATAAGATATATTGAATTCAACTATTTATTGAATTGTATTGGAGCTGGTCCATCTATAATGAATTTATATTGAACTAGATTGTATGGGACCGATATAAGGTCTATTGACATTAAGATAAGAATAGGGATGGCAATGGACCAGGTTTGGGTTGGATCCAATCTGAATTAAAACCAATTTAAATAGATTGACCGGTCCTATAAAACATATTGAATTGGACCAGTCAATCCAAAGTATTTATCAAATTGGACTGGACTTAGTTCATTTATAATGGACTCAGATGAAACCATGTCAAGTTGGACCAATATCTGGTCCATTGACAACCCTAATATGGGATAAGTTAACAACAAATGACATTTTAGGCACAAAAAAAAGATGATGCATCCATACATTTTAAATGAGTAATCTATATCTATCTATATATATAGCAAGTCAGTCCACGTCACCATGCCTGTCCTTGCTCCAAACCCCCTTCCTAATTCCTGTTTTTTTGGATTTTTCATTTTTAATTTCACATAATTACCCATTAACCAATAAGGAAATAACACAGACTTAACTATTTCAAACAACTATAAAGAAAAAGGGATTTGCTTTTCTAATGTTTAGCCAGGTGGCACCACTTTCTCCTACATTGACAATAATTCCAATTTATCTCCTAAATTATCTCTAACTCCTACTTATCTCTTAAATTATATCTAATTTAGTAGAGAGATTCCCTCCTAAACTATCTCTAATTCTTATTTATCCTCTCCCCCACTTTTTATCTACATCTATCTAAAGAATGTTTCAATTAAAAAAATTTAGAATTATTTAAATATTATAACGAAATTATATACTATTTTAAAATATTTATTCAAAATACAAAAATTAACTATAATGGATTTAATAATATTCATAATGTTAATAATTCTATATTTTTACAAAATTCATCATGAAATTGTGTAGTAACAATATAAATTATAATTTTACAAATTATTCAATTTAAATGTTATTCAAATAATAAAAAATTAACATTAAAAAATAAAATATTATTTAAATATTTCAATAACTAAATATCTTAAATAACAAAACATTAAAAATAGCTAAATAACTATATAACAAAATATTTAATATTACGTAAAAAATTAAAATAAATAAAACTCAAATGATGAAAAAAATTAAATAATTTACATATTATTTCAATAACGAAATATTTAACATGACTAAATTTTAAATACTTAAAATAACGAAATTATGTAATAAATTAAAAAAAATAAAGGTAAAAAAATAATTATAATAGATTTCATAATATTCATATTAATAATAATTTAATATTTTACAAAATTAATGACGAGTTATGTAATAATAGTACTAATTATAGTTTTATGGATTATAAAATTCAGTAAATAATTAATATTTTAAAATTTTAAATAACAACATTATTTAAATAACTATATAACATTGTAAATAACTAATTCAATTAAATCAATTAATAATTATAGAAAATAACTAAAAAATAATATTTATTAGTAATAATTTTACAATAATAGTGTATAGTCATTATATATTTATATATATACTAAATTTGATATTTATTTTACTTTCAGTAATTATCTATTGTACTATTTTGAAAAATATGTTTTCAATAAATATTTATAAATCAATTTTTGTTTTGTTATTTAATAGTAAATCGACAGTAATTATTGGAGATTAAACAACTATTATTTAACTTTTTAAATTTAATTTATCGTACTTATTGTATTTTTGTTAAAAATTTATTTTTAGTAATTATGTATTTTTATAATTTATTGATTAATATTTATTAGAGGTTAAACTATTGTTTGGGATTACACTATTTATTGACTAATTTAATATATTTTCAATATTTATTGTATTTTTATGAGATATCTATTGTATTTTAATTATAAATTTATTTTCAATAATTATTGGAAATTAAAATATTGTTATTTAATAAATATTAGACTATTAATTTAACTAAAATTAGGAGTGTTCAAGGATTAGTTTAGTTCAGTTGCAAGCTATTTCACCAACCAAATCGACTTGGTCTGGTCAGGAGTTTGTCACCTGAAACCGATTGACCATTAGTGAAAACCCGCCAATTCGGGTCATATCAATTTGGGTCTATTTCCAGTTTGGTTTATTTGTTCGAAAGATTTAAACTGAAAAATTAAAATTAAAATTAATAAATTACAATGGTATTATTAAAAAATAAATTAAAAAAAATTAAATTTATGAGATAAAATATTTTAGATGAAGAAATATGGAAATTTCCCTCTTTTTTGTATTAAAAATTATATTTAAAATATAAAATACTAACATATATCTATGGTCAGATCGGTTCAATTTTGGTCGATTTATAAATGGACAAATCGAACTAAGCTAACTAGGGGCCCGTTTGGCGCATCTTTTTGAGAAATCTTCTTGTAACTCTAACAGTCAAAAGACGCATTGAGCTTTTGGCATAAGATATGGACAGCCCGAAGACAATTTGGCAAACACTCGTCTTTCTGTGCGTCTACCCGCGTCTTTCCGCCCGAGATTAAAACGCGAAAGATGTGGGTTCCCGAAATTAGCCCAAAATGGGCTTTTCGCGTCTTTTCGACACACTGTCTTTTGGCGGCTAGATCTTCCATGAGCCAAATGGGAATAGACCGAAAATCGGTCTTCTTGGCTTGTAAACAGCCGAAAGACCATGCAGAAAGACGCACCAAACGGGCCCTAGGTTGAGTTGAAAAATTGCTAAGCCAAAGCCAATCAGAAATACTAGGAAACCGACAAACTCAAGTCGAGTTTG